ATCATTACTCTCATTCCCTTTTACCCTTCACCTTTTCCTTTTCGATTGCCATCGTCCTTTAGTGGTGGACGTGGGTTTTAAACATTACACATTTAATATTAGTACTACACCTCATCTATGAAGTGAAGTTTAATAAAATAATATAATAATAAGTTTTAAAAAGTTAAATACAAAGAGGGTAAGGACTCTTGCCCTGCAGAACTTCCTTTATCGTTCTCTCTCTTACAAACGCAGTGAACTATTTCTCTCTCTAGTCGAATTTTATCGAAAGTTCCCTCTCAAATATTATAGGTAAGTGACATCATCTTCTTGAAAAATAGTTTGTTTTTAATAAATAGTGATATTTTCGTCCAGGATATTTAGTTTATAAGTTTTGTGTGTAAGTGACATTATTGTTTTGAAAAATAATCTTTTTAGTAAAATTGTGATATTTTATCTATTATTAGAAATTTTAAATGCTGTAAATTATTAGAAACAAAATTATAATTTTCCTGTCTATTGTTCAGAATTTTAAATACTGTAAAGTATTAGAAATAAATGTAATATTTCCGCTTTTAGTAAAATTATGAGATTTCCTTCTACTGTTTTTGAATATTTAGACATTGTAAAATTCATATGTAAATGTCTGCCTCATTATTTGAAAAACTTATATTTTTGCACTTGATTGTAGTATTGGCTATGAAATGATTATTTACAAATTGACAATTCTACAAATTGTGATAATTCCGTATTTAATTTTGGATTCTCATAAAAATTGGTATATTGATATTAGACTGTTATCATGTTAGATTTCAAGAATGTCCTTTAGAACTGTTACCTTTTAGAAATTATTGTACAAAATGTTTAAATGGCTACTTAGAGATATTTTAATGGAAGTGATTGTTATTAAATTGCTTCAAGTGAATTCATGTTAATCTTTTCAATGATACTTCGCATATATGATATTGTTGCTTTTTGATGTTTAACGAGTTTCACAGATAATTTGAGTATAAGTGGACCTACAGTGATCGTTATGACCTATCTGGTTGTGTCAGTAGGGACTATTTGGACTCATCCGGGATGCCGGTGAGGTATGATCGGACTTGCAGGAATTATTATGACCTATCCGGTTACGCCGGTAGGAACTATTTGGACTCATCCGAAAAGCCGGTGAGGTATGTTTGGACCTGCAGGGATTACTTAGACCTAGCCGGTATAGGCTATTTGGACTCATCCGGTATGCAGGTGAGGTATGTTTGGACCTGCAAGGATTGTTTGGACCCATCAGGATGCTGGTGGGATATATATGTGACCTACTTGGGACGCCAATAAGGTATTTTGTGAAATCTTTTGAATTATACATTTATATTAAAATGTTTATTCCGTCATTTGGATTATGTTTAACTATGGATTGTGAAAGTGCAATTGTTATCAATAAATGTTTTTGCTCGAAATTCTTCCTTAGGTTGTTTTTTATTAACATACATTCTTCATAAAATGTTTATATATTCCAACCATGATTATTTTAAGACCATGATGGTCACTTACTGAGCAGTCAAACTCACCAAACTATGGTAAATATTTTTCAGGATAATTACAGTCTCATAGTTAAATGCATATCGGGACTAGCTTGTGAAGATGATGCAGTCATGTCATAACTAAATTCTCCTTTGTAACTTTTGTTCAACCAGTTGTGAGCAAACTTCATGTTAATACCAGTTGTGCAAACTTTGTACAAATTTTAATTAATAGAAAACTTTGTTTTGTTACAATAAATATTAATAGGAATTTGAATTGTTTCTAGTATAAAAATAGTTTATTGCACCTCGAAAATATTAGAAATCTTGGGGTGTGACAAAAGTCCATTAAAAAAAACAAATCCCATTCAAAGAAAGACAAGGTCTATTAAAAAGGAAGGGAAGGAAAGAGATATACACATGAAGAGAGAAAGAGAGGTACATAAAGATACAGTCCAAAAAATATACATGCATAAACACCATGGCATAAATATGTATGTGAAGAAAGGAAGGGGGGGAGGGGTTTGCATAACCATACAGTTTAAAAAAAGGATACTTGCATAAAAATGATGGATAAATATGTACGTGTATAGGGAGGCCAACTTGGTTACTAATGCTTTGGCCATGGATGCGGTTTCTATGAATGAGGCAATGGTGTGGCGTGTTCCTTTTTAGATTTTGTTATGCTTTTCATTTTATCTGATGTTGCTATTTTCCCATGTCAAAAATTGTATAAAAATTGTTCATGTAACATATTATTGCCTTTAATATGGGTAGGGGCCTAATATCCCCACTTTTTTACAAAAGAAAAAAAATAAAATAAAATGTAGAGAGAGAGTTGAGAGAGAGAGAATTAAGAGAGAAAGACAAAGAACTCCCCATTAGCCGCCTGATGGAAGCTAGTGCAAACAACAAAGACAGGCAACTCTTTCTCTCTCTATCTCTTTTTCTCTCTCTCCATTTTTCTCTCTCTAAATACGCCAAAAAGTAATCAGTTGTCCATTTCCTCGAAATAAAGATTAGAGACACTCATGTTCCATCATTTAATAATATAGTTTTTGCAATTATTGTATTAATAAGCACTTTCGGTGTATATTCCAAAAATAGTTAAAAATCATAATTTAATTCGGATGGACGGCCTAGATTAAGCATTATGTTCACGCCCGAGTGATCTCAACCGCTTATCTCTTGTTTGTTAGAAGGCTTAATGGAGCTCAACGGCAGTGGCGTCCTTGTGGGTCCAGCTTCTTTCTTGTTATCGTGGTGTGTCCTAAATTAATTTAGTTGTACTTGATGGGGCGGTTTTTATAGGGCCTTGCCTATATGATATTTTATAAGGAAAATATTTTTTTTTTATTGCATAAAAGATATATACTTCTCTCCTAGGGTTCATTTATATATATATATATATATATATATATATCTTTCCTCTCATTCAATTTAGATCAAGTGAACGGTTGACTATTTGATCTAGATATGATATCTCATAATATTTTATTTTTAGTTTTTTTACAAATTATATGAATATAAAATTTGATACGTGCCATTATCTCAATAGGGCTCATTTAAAACAAATATAAAAAAATATTTTTGGTAAAATAAAATACCAAAATACCCTTAAAACTTTTAGGGGTATTTTGGTCATTTTATTTTATTGGGAATAATCTTTGTATATATTTTACAGGTGCAAGTTTAAGAGAGGAGTGAAAATCCAAAATTTGGTGTCAAAATATTTTGTAGAAAAAAATGAATAAAATAGTTTAGAGACATGATATCGTGATTAGGGCTGATTGGGGCCATCTCAGCCGTCCATTCAAAATGGATAGTTGGATAGGGAGAAGCATGATAAGTTTTATACACTAGGAGAAGTATCAAAAACTTGCCCATTTTATAAAGGGTATGGTTTGTATAAGGCTGGAGCTCTAAACAATCAAAGTAAGGCGCACTTTCAAATAGTGTCAAAAGGTATTGTTCAGTACCGTAAATCTTTGTCATTAACCTCTTCTAGTCAAAGTTTGAGGTACGCCTTAATTTGATTGTTTAAGGCCTTGTCCTTATATAAACTTCAGAAGATGCAATCTTGGTGCTGGAAACTCTCATGGTACTATAGGAATTGATTTTTGTATCTAATTATAAAATTTAAAGTTGTAAAACTTGTACAGATCCAATGTCTCTTTGGTGCTGGAAACTCTCGTGGTACTATAGGAATTGATTTTTGTCTCTAATTATAAAATTTAAAGTTGTAAAACTTATGTAGATCTGGTGCCTCTGTGAATGCTAAAAAGGGAAAAGTTCATATGAGGTTATAATTTTATATAGATCGGCGTATTGTCTTTAGAATTTGAAATTTCATAATTAGGATCGAACATGAATTTTCAAATCATTATAAGGTTTCCAATATTGGAGTTGTATCTTTTGGGGTGCACATTTATAAGCTGGCACCCTATACAAACCTCACCCTAGTAAAAATGCATGATATAGAAAATATATTACGAGTTTGAACATTTTTAGGGCTAAAAGTCGATTTTTTTTTTTTTTTTGCAATAAATGATTATTGCGATCTAGATGATCAGTTTGCGTGTTTTATAATGGCCAAAATCCATGGCAAAAGTATGGCCAAAATCTATTATCTGCTGCGCAACTCGGTCAATTTTTTTGAAAAAGCATACAATAAGATCAATTTATCTTTGATATTGGGTGGTACTTTATTAACAAGGTTCAAAGTTCAAAATAAATGCTTTCGAACTTTATGACATACTGAAGCTATAATATTTAAGTTACAATTAATTGTTACATTTTTGTACCAAAAGTAAATAGTCTCATTGTATATAATCCCATGTTCTTTTAGTAAATATTTCCAAACGAACAAATATTTTGATAGTGTTGTAGCCCCATCAAAATAAGTAAAACCCACCAAAAGTAGTAATTTTGGTGTGGCAAAACCTTCAAATCAATTATCTCGGCCTTTACCATTATGGTTGTAAAAATAAATTAGGATTTCGAGCCTCAAAAATAGTGTATTTATAACAAATTATTTGAACAGTCTATTTCACCCTAAAAATTAGTGTTCATAGATCACACTTCAAATTTTATAGTCGGTATCAGAAATTGATTTCAGAGCCATAATAGAGATTTCGGATGCCCAAGGAGCTTTCTAGATGAGGATTCAAGGTCAGGCCCTACTTTGTTTTCATAAAGCCTAGGCCATACAAAAAATGTAACAAACATATTTAAGAAAGGTTTGGTAATTATTAAGGTCCTTTCGCCACAAAAAATTTTCAGGAACTATTTTGTTATTTTAAAAAATATAGGGGTATTTCCAGGTTAACACAGTAACACTTTCCTCACAAAACACCGATTCGCGGGTTAATATAAAAAAAATTTGACCGAGAAATAGAGACAGCCGAAGTTTTAAAAAGCATGAAAATGGCGGTTCTGCTCTCTCTCTCTCTCTCTCTCTAATTATTTCTCTCTCTCTGAACTCCTCTCTCTCTCTCTAAATTATTTCTCTCTCTCTTTCAACTTCTCTCTCTCTGAACTCCTCTCTAAATTCTTTCTCTTTCTCTCTCTCTAATGAAATGTGTCACGATTGACTTATTCGACAAACAAACCTAATTTAATGTTTGCATCCCTTTGGACCTCTCTTTCAACAACCCTAGCCCTTAGTCAAATCGAGATCAATAAATAAACGATGCCTAGTTCAACATTAGACCTGGTACCTCAAGCTTTTGGCTTTCTCCAGGGTTTAAAACTGAGGAATTTCTCGCAGAGATGTCTTCAAATTTGGATTTGTTCTAGGGTTTTGAGATGGAGCGGGGGAAATCGTGTTATTTTCTGGTGTTTGTGGTTTATTATCTATGTTATATGGTCATGTTTGGAGGAGCTCAAGTCACTAATCCAAATGAAGGTAATCTTTTGCTGAATGCGTGAAAACATTTGGAAATTTTAGTGGAAACCGTTGCGTTATTGACTTGAGTTTTTTCGTCATGATTTTTCTTTGTTAAACGGTGGTTATGATTGAAATTCGTGGAGGTTTTTGAATTGTTTGTAGTTTTTTCGGTTTTTTTGTGCAAGGGATGTTTTCTTTTTGGTGATTTTTATGGGAAATTAGTTTGCAGGACTTGTTCCTATCTTCTCCTCAATTATCCTGCTTAATTTAGGAGAAAAATGATTTTCTAGTGTAAATTTGGAATTATATTGCAGTGATTGTGTTCATAAATGTGTTTTTTCTAAATATTTTTATGTTCTTAAATGTGGTTACTGATTTTATTGAAATTTGTTCTCAGTTCTTCATGTTCCACATCAATGAAAAAAGTTAAAGAAAATTTGATATCTTCTTGACATAAATATTTCCATTATATGCGATTTTTTCTGTTGAGTGAGTTTTCTGGTCAAACTCTGTTGAATTTTGAGGTTTTTCACTGTGAATAACTAATTTCTTTACTTTTCAAATTCAGTTCTTTACACTGATTTGTTATGGTTATTAAGGAGTGGTTTCATGGATTTTGGCCTTTCCTTTTTTCTACGGTAAATTCTTCTGTAAAGTTAATGAAGTTTATGGTACAGGATATTCCATCTTAGAGTATAATTCAATTTGTTTTGAGCTTATACTGATGATACAAAACACGGCGGAGTCCACTCGGACAACAGCCTCCGCCCCTTGCTGAGTCCAGTACTCACGTAAAGCTGGGGGTAATAACACAATAAAAAGCAAAACCCATAAAATCTATATTAAATCAATTTAATCAATCCATAAATGTACTATATGTAATTTGGATTTTTTTATTATAATTTGTGAGTTTTTCTTGTCTTATGCCCTATTTTTATATTTTTCTTTTCTTTTGGATTGTTTTGTTTCCAATTTTCTATATGTTTTTTTCATCTTAGTTGGAGCTTTTATTTTGTTTTTAGTTTAATCAAGCAGGGCGTGAGTCGAGTCTGTGAACCTTGGTTTTTACTGTGTATGGTATACATTTACTTAGAAAAGGTTTTTTGTTTACAAAGAATATTTGCTGTTGCATTCATTTGCAGTCACTGCTTTACAAGCAATCAAGAGTAGACTGGATGATCCTTTTAACAATTTGGGAAATTGGGGCAGAGGTGATCCATGTACTTCAAATTGGACTGGGGTCCTGTGCTTCAATGAACCGCAAGATGACGGCTACTTGCACGTTAGGGAACTGTATGTACTTGGAAATTTTTTGTAATTTGTTTGTTGCTTTCATTCAACTTATTGTTGGGCCTTCCTTTAATGACCTTCAAGACCTGAAGTTTGATTTTAATCTTTCCTTTTAAATTGTTTATATTGCTCCATCTTCCATTAATCGTTGTCCAGAATGACTTGCTCGTGCTCCTTTGCCATCTTTTGAATGAACTAATTGAGCTAAAAATGCGTCCTGTACCTTGACCCTTTTAGCTAGTTGACTTGTGTTTCTTTCCAAGTTTGGGGCTCTATATTTCTTAGATTATCTAAAGCTGTGATAGAACAAGGATATGGCTTGTTATTTTCAACATAATTGCTTCTAGCATTCATGAGGTGAATTGTGATAGATATCAGCATTCCCCTCCCCCCCCCTCCCTTGGCGGAAGTGGAAAGTGGAGCTGTTTGAATGCTTCCTCTGCATGGAAGATTGATAGGTGACAAGGTTTTGGTTCTAATTGCTTTGGTACATGTGTGATTGATTATGGAAATAATATTTTTGTGGAGTTGGATCCTGGTTTTCTCTACCCTGCCCCTTGTTCTTGACCTCACATAGAGGTATTGAAGAGAAAAGACGAAGATCACTGGGGTAATGAAGTTGATAAGTTGACTCTATGTGGACTTAAGGAGAAATGACGAGGGTTGCGAGCCATTTTGGAATTTGGCACGTCATGTGCGAAATCCTCTAGGTTAACAAAAGATCCCAGTTTCAAATAGAGTTAGTGTCAAGTTTTAAATCAAACTAGAAGACACACTACATACATGCTGAAAAGTCTCTTCCACTATGTAATAAATGACAATACACTCTTGAGAGCATCAGTTTTTGTTTCTCTCATCAGTTGCATGACTTTACACTCCTATTTTTGACAAGATTATCAAATATATTGATTTGAGATGTAATCAATTTCACCAATTGGTCTATAATATCTTATTCTCTCAATGAAGTATTTTCTCATGATAATTTGTTCACAATTTCTTTTGCAGGCAACTACTAAATATGAATCTCTCTGGTAATTTGGCACCTGACATTGGTCAGCTATCTTATATGGAAATATTGTGAGTCAAATGTATCCACTCCCGTGGATTTATTTTTTTCCTTTTGGGAAATTGCTAAGAGTTATGGCCTAATTAACTGCAGGATTTTACTTCTTTTTGTAATCCATATAATTCCAATCTTCTCCTGTGCCTCTATAAATCCTAACAGGGTTGAGCTTGTTCTGTTGCTGATACTTTATATATTTCTTTTGGAAGCGATGTTATGTGGAACAAAATAACTGGATCCATACCAAGGGAGATCGGCAATGTCAAATCTCTGAAACTTTTGTAAGTTAAATATGGATTTCATTTATTTTTTTAATTTATGTCCTCATGTGAAGGGCCATTCTGGCATGTATGAAAAATCTCATCTGAGCTAGTTGACTTTTGCTTTTCTGTTTATCCTTTTTGTGGGATGTTATTTTAAGAAGTTTTTAATAATTTATTCTTGCTTTTTGAGATCTTAATTTTCGGAACACCTTGAATTGCCTGTATGTTAAGCATGTAAAACATATCAGTGAAGTGCAAGAAAAATGGCCCTTTGTAAGAAATTTCTTCTTTTACAGGATAAGTCAACGGTGAGGAAAGGCAGTGATGTGGACCTGTTAATGTAGATGGATATAGATATCTGCTAAATTTAGAGATCACTTACTATTGGACTCAGCTGATAGTCAACTGAATCTGATTATTTTCTGGCTCTAAGTTAGTGAAAACCTTGTCAATATAGTGAATTGAACAGTACAAACTTCCCACCTGGAATCCAATACAAAGAACAGGATAGGGCTGACAATAGGCCAGCCAGCTTGGTCCGGCACGGCCTGGCCTGCCAGGCCCGGAAAGACTAGGCCTGGGCCACAAAATGTAGCCCGAGGGCTGGGCCATGGCCATGTCATGGGCGGCCCTAGAGTAGAAACGTAAATGAAATTCTGGTGCATGTGATTGTCAGGGCCTTCATCCATTGATTCCATTCTACAAGTACAAAAACTTACAAGATGTCATGATGTAGTGGGGACATGTACTGATCTTTTAGCCTTACTACAAACAATTTTCTTATTTACAATCATTGATTGATTTTGTAATTTTTTAATAATATTACATAAACTAATGCTTAAATCTTCTGGACATTGACGAGAGTGATAGATGCTGCAGACAATATGTTGTGAATTTTATAATTTAACCTTTAGGGTTGTAGAAATAAAATGACACACTATGAGATGAATTCAGCTCTCTATTACCAGCTCTTTGTTGCCATCAGTTAATCTTATGCTTAATGGTTTGTCCTGCTTAAAATATTCAACTTGCATCGTTTTTGCAATTAGTACTTCGGATGTGAGTTTGTGTCTATCTTTATGCTTTTCCTTGAGTACCACAAATCATGTGGAGAATGCCTATCTGAAGCTCCAATTTCCCGATATTAATATCAACTTTTATCACATAGACTGTTATATCTGTGCATTGGTGGGAAACCCAGAGAATTTACTTATCAAAAGAAAAAAAAAAGGAAGATCAGCATAAGCTGCGTATATTTTGATTTATTTTCTTGTATATCTATATTGATAAGAGAAGAATTGTGAACAAGTTTGTGTTCTACCAATATTTAAATTATTCCGAGCTTGACCACAGCACATTAGATCACGGACAACATGAGAAAACTACTTGGCCTAGTTTAGGCATGGCTTAAATAATTTTATGCATTGTATCTAATATTTTGGCATAGTTATTAGAAAAAGGCAATTACTTGAACTGACTGTGATGAAGTATGTTGATAGGCCCTATTAATATATTTGTTTCACTGCTTTTCTGATATGTATTTTTCGTACATGTCTTCTGTTATAGTAATAGGTGCAGTGGATGGACTTGTTCGTACGTGTCTTTCTGCAAAATCCTTTAATTGTTCTCTACTGATGTTTGTTAATGAAGCTTTTAACGTCTATGATGATTCTTTATTGGAATGCATGTTAAGATGTTACGACGTCCTATTGTGCAGGCTTGTTAATGGGAATCAATTAAATGGTTCTTTGCCAGAAGAGATTGGTTATCTTCCTAACTTGGATCGTATACAAATAGACCAGAACCATATATCAGGACCAATACCAAAGTCATTTGCAAACCTAAACATGACAAAGCACTTGTAAGTTGCACAACATTCTTTACTTTTGCTTTTAGTTTGCACATTTACTTGGCCCACATTTACTTGGCCCTTTTGGAATGTATGTCAATTTTAAAATTATATACTTTTTGCAGTCACATGAACAATAACTCACTTAGTGGGCAAATTCCAGCAGAACTTTCTAGATTACCCCGCTTGGTTCACTTGTAAGTATGGATCTATCGTACAACATCTGGACTTGAAGTTAGCTTTTTGAAAAGATCTCATAGATTTCTTTTGGCTAATCTCAGGAGTTCTGTAGTTATATTGCTGTTTATTTTTGGTTATTGTTTATTAAGTTATTTGTGTGTTTGCAGTCTGCTGGACAATAACAAGTTAACAGGTAATCTTCCGGAGGAATTGTCAAACATGCCAAGCTTGCTTATTCTGTATGTTCTTACCTCTGCCACTGTTGCTATGTCGATTTTTCTTGCTTGTTCTTACTTCTTAGTGTCCTCATGTTCTATGTTGTAATGAGAATATCTGGCCTTTTGTGACTTTTGAAGTTACCGATGTTTGTTTGACTTTTACTATAGATTGTCTGCTGCAGTTAATTTAGTTTTCTCCCATGGATTTTATAAAATGAATATAGAGTTCACTAGATATAATCTGTATAGTTGTGGATACAAAATAAATTTAGTCTCAGCAGATAATGACACAATATCTACAATCATTTACACATTCTTGTACCCCGCTAGATGGTGGACTGCTTAGAAGTAGTTCTTAAAGATGTGAAATCCATTCACATATTTTTTGAATTCGAGTATATAATGTTTGTTTCTAATTTGTTTTGCAGCCAACTTGATAATAACCAGTTCACTGGTAGCCACATTCCAGCCTCCTACAGTAAAATGTCAAAATTGTTGAAGTTGTGAGTATTATTTTCTTCTAGAGAGTACATTATGTCTTCTAGTCAACCCCAAACAATTGGGATAAGGCTTGGATGATGATGATGGTGATATTATTTGTTTTTCTTTTTATTACAGTGTACAACAGCTACTAATGAGTAATTTAGTATTTTATTTCTCTCTGAATTTCTGAAATGCTTCCAAATGGCCACAGAGAATTGATGATATCTTGAATCTAGTATCATCGGTACATAGGTTGTGGCTCCCTCTTCAAAATTGCACCTACCGTGAGTATTTGGAGTAGGCTGCATATGTACTGTGCACTCGATGCCTAGAGATTGAAACAGAGACTCTGTCAGAGTCATGAATACAACTCATGAAGATTCTGTCTGTGACTATATATTTGCACAATAGTGTGCCTATATGCATATCTGTTGACTTTCTTTTATGACCATCTGGTTCTCTAAGCTGTAGATCTCTTGGAAACTGCTTATCCTTCCCTCGTACCCCTGCTCTTGCTGCTATTTTGTGCTTCCAGTGCTTGTTTGATATGTGCTATTTATGATGCTTATTTCTGTTTCTTTGTTTTTTTTTTAAATTGTGGTCATATACCGTAAATTCAAGGTGAAATCTTAAATGTCTTCTAGATACTGCATATTTGTAATACACAAATAAATGATCCACTTATCTGGTGGTGGTGTATCTTCCTGCTTGATTTTATAGGAGTCTTAGGAACTGCAGCTTGCAAGGGAGTATTCCAGACTTAAGTAGTATTCCTGACCTTGGCTACCTGTAAGTTCCCTTATTTTTTTTGGGTAAATACTACAATCCCTTATCATATTTTACAATGATAATATTGGATATGTTTCTCATCACTACTTTTGGACTTTTTTGTTTTGTTTTAAATTTTACCGATAAAGATGTCTGAACATGTATTTCTGTATTTCAGAGATCTTGGCTTGAACGAGCTTTCTGGACCCATACCAACAGGGGGAATTTCTCAAAATATTACTACAATGTATGCATAGGGCTCCTAAATGTTCTACTAGTAGACGGGATATATTTTCTCTTGCTTAGGAATGTGCTGGATATCATTTGGTATTGTAATTTTCATGTAGAAGATTTCGATATTTGCTGTTTGATATATGCTTTGCACCTTGTAATGACTCTTTATGTGAATGCTTATATCATAGATTGTCTAGACCTTGTCCTTGGATTTATATGTGACTTTAATTCTGTGCAGTGACCTATCCAACAACACTCTGAATGGATCAATTCCTTCAAGCTTTTCTGGCCTTCCACTTCTGCAAAGATTGTGAGATTCCCCATTTAGTTTCTATTATTCTCTCAAAATCAATGTGAATACTCTTATTTTTATGTTTAAGCTTTCGAAGTCTCTGAGAATGTCTGAATAAGTAAACTATCAACATGTTTCTCAATTTAATTGTAATTTTCAAATATATATAATTGGTACCAGTGTATCTATCAACCAAAGTATTTCTTGTGTATATGCACTATTTATTGGTGGGAATATCATGACTTGCCATGCATGGTTACTTGCGCTTTCATCAACAGGTCACTTGCTGGCAATCAATTGAGTGGTTCCATTCCATCCGACCTTTGGCAGAATATATCATTTAGCAGCAATGCAACACTTATTTTGTAAGTTCATATGCATAAATTGCCTTTTCTTCCTGGAGACTTCATATTTTTGTTGATTTTGTCCCTATGTATTTAAGAACCTGGACTGGGTTGGGACTCTCCAGGATCCCGTGTCCAAGTCAGCCAGTTCGACATGGCCAAATATCAACTTTACTTAGATGAGTATGTAACAAATAACAAAGGTCAAAAGAAGGAAAGACTCAGGTGAGTCCCTAGTTCTGGCTTGGGGCTCTCCAGTTTTTCTTTTGATGCTGTTAACTATTGTATAAAGAGAGTAAAGTAAATACAATGGTGATGCAGAGGAAGCCCACAGGCTGGGCCTTATGCCAAAAAGAATATAGACTAATGGGAGGGTAATCCTATACAAAAAAATATTCGGGCATAATACCAAAAAACCCGACTGTAAAATTGAAAGTAAAAACCAAAAGCTGGCCATAACAGCAGCCCTGTACAAGGAAATAAAGCAAAAAAACCAAAAAGCGAGGCATTCACGTCCCGAAATACTGGATAGCGCTCCATCTTTAGCTAGTTGGTCCCCCAGGGCGTTGGACTCCCGCCAGGTATGCCTCCATGAGGCGGCCATATCCCTGCAAATGTGAGTAATCTCATAAAAAATTGACGCCAGATACCATGGGGTGGGGGGTAAATGGTTGAGGCCAAGAGGGGTTAAGAAGCGTAAGGTCGGTGAGCAGTGTCATGGACTCTGCGAATTGGGAGTCAGCATGGCTGATGAAATTGGAGAATGAAGCAAGAGTATTGCAAAGGTGGTCACGGAAGACCCCACCCACTGCCACCGGACCTAGGTTGCCCAAAGAGCACCCGTCGAAGTTGAGCTTTGTGTGGCCCTCCTGGGGGGCAGACCAGTTGCTCGATCTTTGAACACTGGACGATTGGATCTGTAAATATTTCCACCGGTGTAGGAAAGTTGAGGTCAAAACTCCTTTGAAGGTCTTGTGGTTGGAGGCCCAAAAAGCGACATCTGAGGTGATTTTGTGGAAGAGGGCAGGAACTTTGCACTTGATTCCTTGGAAAATCCTTGAGTTCCTCTCTGTCCAAATGACCCAAATAGTGGCTCCATTGGAAGTTTCCAGAGGAGCTTGCCAGCATAAGGCCACAGAGTGTCCCTAGAAAGGTTGAAAAGGGCCGGAAGGGAGGGAGGAGTGGCCCAAGAGAGGCCGAAAAGATGGAGTAGAAGGCTCCAAAGGTCATGAGCCAAACTACAATGAATAAAGAGGTGGGGGTTGGATTCTTCCTCGCTAGTGCACATCATGCAATAGTTGGGGATAGAGACCCTCTGTTGTAGTTAGGTCTTTTCGGAGCAAGCGATCCAATTGAAAACTTGCACTTTAGGAGGTGCGATGGAAGACCAAACCTGGGCCACAATGGAATTCGGAGAATGAGGATAAGTTGGGGTAAAAGGAGTTTCTTATAAAAAGAAGCTACCGTGAAGGACCCCGAGGGGGAAGGGGTCCACACAATGCGGTCCGACCCTGAAGGGGCTAAGAAGTTTGAATACAACAAAGACGACAAGGAGAGGAAGTCTTCGGTTTCGAGGTCAGTAAGAGGGTGTCTAAAGGATGGGCTCCAAACTCTAATGTTGCCCGAGAGGGGCATCTCGTCTGCGATTAAGGATGAAGTGTTGGTTGCTAGGGAGAAGAGGGAGGGGAAGAGGTCCCTGAAAGGGGTATGACCCAACCAAAGGTCTGTCCAAAAGCGAATGCGATGGCCTTCCCTAAGGTGGCAGCGGGTACTCTTTTGAAAGAGAGTAAGAGATGACAGAAAAGACTTCCAGGCTTCTGATGCCCTGCTCGAGGAGCGCCCTTCTGGCAGCCAAGTATTAGTAGGAATTTTGTACTTGCAGCGAATTATTTGGGTCCACAGCAGGTCATTTTGTGTAGCTAGGCGTCACCACCATTTGCCAAGTCTACCTACCTGTTTGGGTTGGCATACTCAAGCCAACTTCGAGTTGAGAGATGGCCTGGCAAGTTTCAAAACTGAATGTGTTCTTTACATCTTTACGCCCTTCAATTATGAGTTTAAGAAGATTGAGGCTTGATAAATCCATCCATCATTTGTAAGTTTTTTGTGTTAGGGCTACATTCATATGGTCTGCCCATTTGCTTATATGTAGATTTTTAACTTTGCCAAGTTTTGTATCTATCACACTTGTATATTATAAATTTCATCCCCTCCTTTTAAACTTAAGTGAAAATATTCTCTACACAAGGTCTCTCCTTATGTCCACCTCATTTTTTTCAACTCTTATCTTTTTCCAGGTGCACCTGTAATTTCTCTATCTTTACAAGTAAAAGCTTCAAAGATTTTACATTTAGTGCTCACCATGTAGCTAACACAAATTTTATTGAAAATTTAAATGTCTATGTTTTCCTCTTTTGAGCTGTCACTTACCCCATCTTTTCCAACCTCAAAATGTTCTGTGACTTAGTTAATTCCTTCCATTCAAATCTTTCTTCAATTGGCTTTATCTTTTTCGTGATTTGTTGATTCTACCTTTTCTCTGTGGTACCAGGCTCTAAAACTTCACATTTGTTCCTGAAGTACACCTGAAATGCATTTTCTCTTTTTTTTTTTTTTTGGTTTCTATTACTTGCCTTTACTCCAATTTCGTTTTATTTCCTACCATGTCTTCCTCACTAGTTTTTGTATCTTAATGATTACAACAAATGTTAACATATTTGCTTTTCGATTTGTCTAGTAAAGGGAAATATTTGTTGATTCGATTGTTCTATCGGGGGAATTATTTTTTAATGACTCAAAATATAAAAATAAATGAAAATAGGAAACTGATGGGGACAAAAGAAAAATTGTAATAAAAATGTTCTATAAATCTCATCTTATATGATATTCCAGACATAATCACTTGTTTCATCACCTAGGCAATGCAACTAATGAAAATTTGACAAAGAAAATCAGAACCATTATCAATTATGTTACGTAAAGAATAGAATGGAGTTCTTAAGTTCAAGCTTTTAGATCAGAAAGTCTTAAAATTAATTACCAGAAAAAATATGAATTAAGTCTTCAAATTTTTTTTTTTTGAGGGAAGCAAGCCTTGAAATTTTTTATATTCCTTGAGGCTTTTACAATTTCTTATATATTACAAAAAGAGAAACGCAAGGAACACAATGATTTGCCTTGTAAAATTTACAATGTGGTCTGCCTTGAAGATTCCATAAAGAACTACTATTATCAATGAGAAAAGTACCAAATTATTCGTCATCAGTAAGAGTTGATAATATTGAATAAGGAAAAAGTGGAGGTGTTCTTGAAATTTTTTATTACAAGAAATTCAGTCCCAAAATGAATACCATAGGTCTTGGATAGGGATAACTTTCCTGATTAATTTAAAATTGAATTAATTTTTTCTATAACATTTGAAACAAAGTTTTTCTATAAGATTTAAAACATCAGGAAATTCCTTCTTTATCAAATAAATAAATAAATAGAGTTTTTGCTCCTTTAAGCTCCCTCAATTTGATTGAGGTGCTACAATTACCTTAGGTGCAATTGTTTATCCCTAGGGAACTTACCAAAATTCTCGAAAAAACTAGTGAAATAGTCCAAAACTCCTGAAACCTGTGGATTATAGCTCAAGAGATCCTTGTCGTGCTCATGGGCTAAAAGCTCATGTGCGTTTGCATTGATTCAAAAAGCGGTCTGTCCAGCGCCTAGGCGGAGGCCTTGGGCGCATCGCCCAGGCCTGGGTGGACCAAGTAGGCCGGTTGTCCCTAGGCGCCTAGTTCCCCATCAAGGTGGGCGCCCATGGAACTGCACTCTCCTAGCTACAAAAATACCCATCGGGTGGGGTATTTTTGGTTTTTTTATTATTATAAAAAATGTATAAATATGCATTTTTTATACAGATCTAGACCTAAAATAGGATTACTGGACACCCCTTACCCCCTTATGAACCTAGGCCGCTCAGGTTTTGGGCGGCTACTTAGCTAGGCAGCGTATCCCCCCTGGGGCACCTAGGGTGTTTTTGGAACATTGTGCATTTCTTTGGCCAAAGGGCATGACAAAGTGCAATAAATTGTACACCATGCTTACTTTGTTCTCACACTTCTTTAATTTGGAGTATTGTTCTTAACGTGCTAAGTGTGTCTCCCACATGGTGCTAGTTCTTAGCTGATTGTCGATCACTTGACCATTGTTGTGATTATCTTGATCTCTTCTGGCGAAATGAATTTGAGGCAGGATGGTAGTGTTCTAAATTTAATTTCATATAAAGGTCACAATGTCCTTGGTGATTGAAATTCCACTCTTGATTGTGCATTTACCTATAAGGGTACTTTGGTCATTTACGTGTCATGTATGTTTGAGAGTATATTCCCTTACTTTATAGTTGAATGAAGAGTCAGTGAATCACCTATTGCTCCTTTGTATCTTTGTTGTAGTGGTGTAGAGTTATATTTTGGGCTCCTCGGGAGTACATTGGGTCTTTCCTGATACTGTCTTGCAGGTTTTGAATGGCTGGAGGGTGAGCCCATTCCCTCAATAGGGTGATGCTATGTGGTCAGTCGGTTGTATATGTGTGCTATGGGGCCTATGGTTGGAAAGAAACAAGCGAATCTTCGAAGGAGGTACCTAAAGCTGGAACAGTTGGAGAAAGAATATGGCACATGACGATCTCCTGGGCTTTAATTTATAGTGCTCTTGTTTATGGGCTCAAGACATTGTGGGAGCGGGAAGTGGTGGCAAATAGCACGATAACTAGAGATGAAAATCATGCCGAATGGCTTGCGCCACTATAGGGGAAGCTGAAGTTGAATTTTAATGGTAGTTCATCTGGTAATCAGCACCCATCAGGGGTGGGTGGAATGTAAGAACTCTAATGGGTTAAGCTAGTTCTAACATATGCAGGAACTTTGGGATTTGATCGTGCCAATTTTGGCTGAAGCTAAAGCATTGCTGATGGATCAGTTTGCACTTGTTCTTAAGTCCCCTCATGGTTGAGGGTGATTCATTGAATGTCATTAATGGGCTTGCAAGGAAAGTGTTCATCCATGGAGGATGGCCGGCATATTTAACGAAATAATTGATATTTGTCATGGTAGGGATGCCTTTTTGTGCTCGCCTAGGATTGCAAGTAATATTCGGGGTAACCTAGCCCAGGCTGGCAAGGGAAGAGGGGACCTGCATGTGGGGCCAGTGTCTCTTCCTCAATCCCTCACCTTCATCTTATATTCATTAAAAAACAGTTGAATGCATATATTCTTTATATTGGGATTTTTTTTTCATTAGCTAACTCTTTTTCGTTTTTGTTTTCGGGCAAGTCTATTATTGCTCAATGATTAACTGGCTATGCTTGAACCATGCAGGGATCTTGAGGACAACATGTTTTCTAACATTTCTGGTGTATTGAATCCTCCTGCAAATGTCACCATCAAGTAACCATCTCACCTCTTACTATATTGCCGACCAGAAATTATGAGCTTTGGATTGTTCAAGAGCCGTTTGGATCTTCATGAACGAAGGGAAAAACATATGATTGGATTCTTTTATGGATAACAAATTCGTGGTCCCCTAGAAATGTCATGGGCTGCAAGTGAATGCATGTTTAAGTTTGCTTTATCGTTGTTAGCCATTGTTTGCCAAAGGGTTTGCCATGAACCTGTTTTAGGTTTGCAGTGCAAAACACCTGGTCAGGGGATGATTATGACCTCAAAATCTTCGAATCATCTCTGGTTCACCTCATGATCAATTTCAAAAAAAAAAAGACGGTGTGCTCTTAAACCCCAAATTTAATAGTCCATCAAATGAAAGGCGCAGAGTCAATCTTGGAATGGAAATTGGTTTGGAACAGTTTTTGAGCTCCAAGTCAAATTTCTCCCTTAGATTGTTCTTAGAGACAAAGAAAGATGATTTGAGAGTTTTAGGGTCAAATAAATCTTTCTAAAATGGTGTTTGGCCATGGTCCTGTACCGAACATAAGTTTTGTTCCTTTGGACCACAAATTCTTTTGCTCCATATGCACTCACACATAATTTTCAGCTGAGGTTGATGAGTCCCTTTGAATTGTTAAAAAGGCTAAAATGAATCGATGACAAAAAGCTGATGGTTTTATCTTGAGTGGCCTTGGAAATATGGTTATGGCTATGTGATTAGCACCTTCGCACGTCCACTTTTGCATCTTTACATTGTTTTGGAAGTGCATCTGTCTTCTGTTTTGATTTTGCTTTTTTTCTTATTATAAGCTGATGTGGTCAGTCAGCCCACTTCCTACCCTCATTGTCATCCATAAGCTTCTAACAATGATTTTCAATATGGAATAATCTGCCCAATGACAGGAGATTGCTGTACATTCTACAACAGTCAGTTTTGGTTGTATAGTTGATAAATATTTTTTCTTGTTCACAGAATTGTTTAATAATTGATTTTTAAGTAGTTGTTTTTAATAGATAAATACAATTTCTAGAAAAGAATAGTGCAGATGGAACAATACATGGTACAGATCATAAATTAAAGTGGGAGGAGTACCTTCCAAACTCTCAACCTTACCCTTGAGACCCCACATTTGAGGCAGATTTCTTCCAGATATCCTCTCTCTTACTATTCTATTTGCGTCCATATGTTCAATACAATGTTCACAGTTCATTTTTCTTATCTCATGTATCTGTTTTCAAAATCTGACAGTTGCTATGATTCATGATTTTCATAAAATTATTGGATTTACTTGTACTGAACACTTTGTGGCGCATTGAGATTAAAATGCTGTTATGGGTTGCATTATTCAGGCTTCGAGGAAATCGTATTTGTACAAATGCAAACAACCTCAATATATCCCAATACTGTGGAATTCAAATTACTAACGAGGAAGCAGTTGACATTACAAAAGTTGATTGCCCCCCTCAGGCATGCCCTACTGCGAACCTCTTCGAATATGTTCCTAAATCACCTGTTCCATGCTTTTGTGCTGCACCAATTAAAGTTGGATATCGTTTGAAAAGTCCTGGAATTTCGTCTTTCCCTCCCTATATGATGCCTTTTGAAGAGTATATAACATCTGGTCTAAACATTGACCTTTATCAGCTAGTCATCGAAACTTTTATCTGGGAGGAGGGTTCTAGACTAAGAATGTATCTGAAACTTTTCCCTCAGTTCAGTAATGTCTCCTATACTTTCAACTTAAGTGAGATTCAAAGATTAAGAGGCAAGTTTACTGGGTGGACGATTCCTGATAGTGAAGTCTTTGGCCCTTATGAATTGCTCGATTTCACTCTTCAGGGACCTTATGCTGGTGGTATGTCTCAAGAAACATGTCTTTTATCTCGTCTCTTATTTTACACTCTGAATAGACTGGTTTCTGATTGATATTATTGCTATAACAGTGGTTCTAGAGTCTTCAAAGTCAGGGATAAGCAGTGTTGCCATTGTTGGCATTGTACTAGGAGCTATCGCTGTTACTGTTGCATTGTCTTCAATTATCTTTCTTTTCATCTTGAAATGGCACATGAAATCCCAACGTGGTGTCTCAAGAAGGCGTCACCGTGAGTTATCTTATTCCCATTCCCATTTGAATTCTATTAATTGTTTTTATTTTTTTAAACAAATATATTTGAGTATCCCCAGGCCTTTGGGGAAGCCTTTGATGTTCTATTTAAAAATTGTTTTCTAGGACTTCCTTTACTCTTTGAAGTGGTGTGCATATTTTGAATCACATGTTTTAATTTGATAATTCTGATATTCTTTGACCTTGGAACGAATGCAACTCCAGTGGTGCGTACTGCTTTTTAAGTACTATGCACCACATAATTTTAATGGTTTATAATTGTTGGGCCTTTAAAGCTGGTTCTTAGTACAGTAAAAGCACAGGATATGATAGAGGGAAAATATGCTCTGCATGCAGGAGTTTTAGGACCTTTTTCTCTTCTGCTTTGACATTCAAAAAAACAAAAAAAGAAAAAAAAAAAAAAGGACCTCCTGTCCTGGAGGGATTGGTTTCTTTTTCATATTATATTTGTGTGGCGTCTTTCCCAAATTTGGGCATCTGAACTCATGTTTCAAACCAAGGGGACTGCTCCAAATAAAAAAAGACATAGAAGCCCTAATTATGATATGGGAGGGTTCAGTGTATTCTACGTGTTCATTGATTTTATTTTACCTAATAAGGATGCCTTTGGATCAAGCGGATTGAACTTTAATATTTTTCTTAAATTGTGAAAATAAATTTCTCAATTTTAATCTAATGGAATTTTTAACCACCGAAAAAGAAAAAGAAATCAAGTGTACTATTGTGAATCTACGATACTGCTGCTTAATTATAAGATAGTGGACCCTATTAAACCTTAGTGATTGCTTCATCCTTTCTCTTCTTCATTTGTACAGTATACATCAATAAAATTTCCATGGGTACACAAAACTGATAATAAAATGGAGAAAAAGACTGATCCAATAATCCTATGTATTGGGAGATTTTATTGCAATAAGAGTTTCCTGTTTTGTACTTTGCAGTCTCAAAGTCCCTTATCAAAGTAGAAGGTGTCAAAAGCTTCAGTTTTGGGGAGATGGCATTAGCCACAAACAATTTTAGCAGTTCCTCTCAAGTTGGCCACGGAGGTTATGGAAAGGTCTATAAAGGAATTCTAGCAGACGGAAAAATAGTTGCTATAAAGCGTGCAGAGGAAGGTTCTCTACAGGGTCAGACAGAGTTCCTTACAGAAATTGAGTTACTGTCACGCCTGCACCATCGTAACCTAGTCTCTCTTGTTGGGTATTGTGATGAAGAAGGTGAACAGGTATGTTCTGTTTCTTTAAAATTTACAAACTCAAGAATTTCTATGTTCTTGCCTAAAACATTGTGACATGCTATTTGGAGGCATCCATTTTCTTGACTTAATGGGATGCAAAATTATTTGCTTGGCATTGGCTTCTCTTGTTTCCATTTAGGTAGAAATTAATTTTTTTTCATTCCTAAGATATTTTGAAAAATAGTGTATAAAAGGTTATATTTTTTTGGAGAATAGGTAAAATTGTTCTCTTTTTCAAATTTTTTAAGAGACTATTATTTTCTAGAAAAGAAAATTCTTTTTTATTTTCTTCACAACATACCCATAGAATGAGTATAGTGAAGATGAGGATGTTGAGATGGATGAGTGGCAAGACAAGAAGGGATAGAATTCGAAATAAATACATTCGAAAAAATTTAGGTGTGGCACCAATAGGCGATAAAACGAAAGAGTGTAGACTTAGGTGACTGGCCATGTGTGGCTCGGACCCAGTACAAAACCTGTTAGGAGGTGCGAGTTAGTTCAAGTGGAAGGCTCAAAAACGGCAAGGGATAGACCCAAAATGAGATAGTTGGAAGTAGTGAGAAAAGATATGGGTACTTATGGCTTCACTAAGGTTATGACCCTTGATAGAGCACAATGACCAGGATTCGTGTAGCCGACCCCAATTAGTTGGGAAAAGGCCTTGACGATGACGATGATGTATTTTTTGGAATTTCTCAAAAAAAAAAACAACATTTTAAAAATCCCCCGAAACTAACTGTACCAAGCCAAACCAGGTGGGGACTTAACCCTGAGCACACCTAAATGTCAAGCCAAATAGCGTTGTTATTCTGCAGTCAATGGATACATTGGGTATCAGTAACTATAATTGTAACACATCTACTTTTGTTGTTTTATAGATGTTGGTTTATGAGTTCATGCCAAACGGCAACCTGCGAAATCACCTTTCTGGTATTCCTCTTGGACCTTGTTTGTGTAACACTTACTTTCTTTGTTTTTTCATACTATTTTTTGCATGATATTTGTTGCCTTTGACGATAAAAAGTAGTGACAGTTGAAGTCTTCGCTTGGGAGACTTTATTTTGTTTTCCGAGAAATTCCTGATAAAAAGCTGAAGTGCTTTGCAGTACATATGAGTGTATGCATTCATTAATGAGGCATCAAATTATTGGCCTTTTTTTAAAGATAATTTCATCACACCCGTATTTCTGCTTACTACCAATGACTTTGACAGAAAAAGTGAAGGAACCATTGAATTTTGCCATGAGGCTACGCCTAGCATTGGGCTCAGCTCGAGGCATATCATATCTTCACAATGAAGCCAATCCTCCTATATTCCACCGTGATATCAAAGCTAGCAACATTTTGTTGGATTCGAAATTTATCGCTAAAGTTGCAGATTTTGGGCTGTCAAGGCTTGCGCCTGTTCCGGAGCTTGAGGGTGATGCCCCAGAACACGTTTCCACTGTGGTGAAAGGCACCCCGGTAAGGTTATTATTCACAATTAACATATTGGTGTACCGTTAGAACTTCAAAATCTTTTTGGTGCAATTCCAATTTATACTGGGCAAGAATACCTAATACAGTGCGTATGGTATACGGTATGCACCCAGGGCATGAACGCCTATCTCCTTAGTGATGGATAGTGAGGATTAGTCATTGTTGACAATAAGTGACATTCACCAGGTTATGGGTATTCTCCATTATCCATTGTTGAGAGTAGAGGCTAGATGCCTTGGCCATGTGCCATATTTCATACACAGGTCGTATACTCTCCTTTTCCTATATATAAAATAAATGATATATATACATACATATATGGGTTATTCTAGAATGCACTATGCTAATAGTGAATTTAGAATTTAGTATTTCAAAATTTTTTATCATAAAATACCCTTACATGGTCAAAAAGGACCTTACTATAAATATTTCATATACTTCGGAAAGGGTATTTTGGTCTTTTCAAAATCCCGCTAAAACTCAATTTCAAATTCAAACAGATTCTTTTGACTTTTTAAATGATGATTGGACTTTAAAGGTAAGTTAAAATTAAATTTTCAAATAAGCAATTGTTAATATATTTTTTCATATTGTATCGGCATTTCATGTTAAAAATTTTGAAATACTTAATTCGAAGTTCACCATTAATATGGTGTATTCTAAAATAATCCTATATATATATATATATATATATATATATATGGGATAATCTAAACTTCAAAACCCTTCAAATTACAAAGGTTCAAGATAGAGACAGTTGTGAAGAGTGGATTTATTAATTTTGTAATCTATTTTTTTAAAAAAGTTACTTTTGTGGGGCAATTTTGTAAATATTACTACAAGACAGATTACGTTGTCATCTCCATACGGGGTAAAGTTGAAATTTTAACTAAAAGACAAGGGCACTCTACAAATAAAGTGCCAGGACACTAACTTTTAAAATGCCATTATGCTTTTGTGAAAATTTCAAATTTACCCTTGCTTGATGGTAAAGTTATCTATTTAAATAATTTTGTAATAAAAAAGTAATGATTGTTTTGATAAATACCCCCATCACAACCCCATCTAACTTGAACATTTGTATTTTGAGGGGTTGTTAACTCTAGACAAACCCTATATATATATTAATGGTGTATTCTAAAATAATCCTATATATATATATATATATATAT